CCAAGCCCAAGCACAGGCACAGGCTCAGGCTCAGGCACAGGCTCAGGCTCAGGCTCAATCTCAGGCTCAGTCTCAGCCTCAGCCTCAGTCTCAACAGCCACAAGCCCAAGCAGTTGTTGCCCATGCCCCCCCTGTCGCTCATTCACCACAAAACCCACAAATGAATCAAATACCTCAGCCTTCGCATGGACACCCGGCGCAAAGTGGAGTTGCGCCGAACGGCTTGCTCAGCAATGGGATGCCGGCTGCACAGGCTCATCGGTTTGCCCAGGGGGTATCAGCGCCTCCTGTCTCTTCGCCTATCCCAAGACAGAATACACCACAAAATATGTCAAGTCCTATGGTTGGCAATGTTCCTATGTCTCAAACAAATTCTGGTATGGGAGCTAGTCCGCCGAGGCCGTCGTCTGTTGTCCAGAACTCTGTACCAATGTCGGTGCCTATGGCTGTTAGTATGTCAGCACGAGGCAGCCAGCAAAGTCACCCTTCTGGCACCCCTCGCATGCCCAGCGCAACCCCCCAAATCCCGCACGGAACTCCTCAGATGGCGCACGGAACCCCTATCAATCGGCCGATACCCACTCCTCGTATGACCCAGGCTACCCCGCCATCGGGTATGGTGGCACATGGGTCACCGACCGGCCAAAATATACATATGAATCACCAGAACATGGGTCAACCCATGTCGCAGCAACAAATAATCGCGGCCCAGGTAGCAGCGCAACAGCACCAGCAGCAGGTCCGACAACGGGCTGCCCATCAGCAGCAGCAACAACATCAACATCAAAATCACCAGCAGCTCCAAGTCTTACAGAGCAATATGATGAACATGCCGAATCCACAACTGCAGCAACAGCAAGTATTTCAGCAGCAGCAGCAGCAACATCATCATCAACAACAACAGCAGCAGCAGCAGCAGCAGCAGCAACAGCAACAGCAGCAGCAGCAACAACATCATCATCAACAGCAGCAGCAGCAGCAGCAACAACAACAACAGCAGCAGCAGCAGCAGCAGCAGCAGCAGCAGCAGCTACAGCAGCAACAGCTTATGCGTCAACAAATGATGCAGCAGTTTGCAAATGGGCAGAATCCAGGCATGCTGACTCCCGTGCAATTTCAGCAACAACTACGATATCAAGCCGCACAACAAGCCCAAATGCAAGGACAGATGCCGGGCCCAGTACCGGGGCAAATGCCCGGGCAGCACATGGGAAATCAGAACTTCATGAACGTCAATGGTCTAAACCCGACTCAAGTAGCGATGTTGATGCAGCAACAGTCTCAGCAACGCGGACACCCCAGACCTCCACCTCAGATAAACATGCAAGTGCTCCATCATATCCGACAACGACAGGTACAGCTTTACTCGCAAAATCTGCCCACACTCGCCAATCAATATGGCGGAGAGGCCCACATACCCCCCGATATTGTGGAAAAGTATAAAAATGCGTGCTTTAATAAAGCACAGCAAGAGTTCGCCAGCCTTCGTCGTTTCCAGCAGCAGCAACAACAGCAGCAACAACAGCACCAGCATCAGCATCAGCAGCATCAGCAGCAGCTCGCACAGCAACAGCAACAGCAACAGCAGCAACAGTTGGCACAACAACAAAATGACATGGCAAACTTGGGGATGATGCAACAAGGCATGTAAGAGCGGATTACTTTCTCTGGTTAAATAAAGCGGACGAAACGTGGGTAATTAGTCTCAGTTGTCCAGCTACTTTCTCATCGTCGTCCTGGTTTCGATTGTGCCGGTGACAGTTTCGAAGGCAAAAAATGGCGTTTCAGGCAGTGGCTTAAGGCAAAATAGAACACGGAAAACGGCGTTGGGCACTCTCCCATGTTTCGGGTGCTGTAAGGTCCTTTCCATATATACCCCTTTCAAGGCAGTTTGAGGCGTACGGTTATTGTTACCTCTCTCTATAGCGACTCATCTCGTGGTCTTTTCACGCACGTATGGACTAGACCAGATATGTGTTCTGGTTTTCCGAGTGCGAGGGCCGTAGAATAACATTGTTACTGGTTATTAGTAGGTTGGCACGGATGAATGTACTTGATGACCTTGATTAATGACGCTCAAAACATTGCCTACCTACGTTGCATCTATTTTACCCTGTTTGCCAACTACCTAGCCTGACTCCTGCTGTCTGTGTTAGGTAGGTAGTTGCAATGGGAGTTCTGGAACTCCAACTGAGCTTTTAAGATTTATTACCTGTCTGCTCATAAGTAAGTACGTTTCTTATACTAGGTATTTAACGTATATTACCTAAGTAGGGCATTGTGCAATGTATCATCGTCACGATGTCACCTGGTGGTGGTTACCAGCCTCATTCGAAGGTATGTACGAATCGGTAGTGTATGTACATACGAATATACACAGTATTATTACGGACGGACGTACGGATCCGTACTTCCAAGTATGCTAATAAACGTCTTAGGGAGTGAAGAGGGTTGGCGGATAGTTAGGAAACAAGTACGGATCCGTACGTACGTAGATATGTACCTAACAGGATCCGTATGTAGGTTAGGTACCTAATTACGTACGTGCCTACCCGTACCGTACGATCCATTGCAGCATGCTGAGCTGGGTTACGTAATGAGATTTAAGCACCGTTTTTTTTATATCTGCCGGTAGTGCACATTGTCTAGACTCTATGCGTGCCTAGGTAGGTAGTAGTTGTTAGTAGTAGGTAGTAAGGTACCTACTTCGCACCACACATTAATACCTACCAAAAAGTACACACGTACGTCCGTAGTGGACAAATGTAATCCTTGCATGCGATGACGATAACATCTACCTACCTACCTACTTACCTACCGAGCCATCTTCATACACATATACCGTACCTGACAAACAGTCCCAGCTTTGACTGTCTGATTCTGGCTTGATATCAAAGGAGCTGTGTCATATGTTGCAAGCTCACTCTGCCCACATCCTGTATGACCACGGTTACATCTCCTTCTACTCTCATCCCCGTCCATCCATGCGCCCTTATTTATAATCCATCCGACCTCGTGCTTGTATCCTCAACGAGACTCTAGCCTCTGTTCTGACCGAAGAAAATACCACACCAAAGCCCTCTAGATCATCCGACGCTCGCCCCGTCACTTGTTGACCATCCCGCGATCTCCCGCGATCTCCCGCTTGCTTATCAGCCCTGTTTTGCCAATGAAGTTCTCAATACCGTACGCGGATGCCGCGTTCCTCCTAACTCTCTTGGCCCCGTTCCCAACGGCCGCCATGTTCAGATGCGACCACGTCGTTGCAGACGGGCAACAGTACAATCTCAAGGCGCTAGGCGGGCCTCACTCGGTTGTGACAAGTCGGGTCGATGGCAGCCGTATACACAACACAACGTACACTATTGATATCTGCGCACCCTTGAAGAAGAAGGACGGTGACCAGTGTCCAAACTATACTCGAGGTTTGTTGTCCCGCGACTGTCCATTGTTGCTAGGCGCCAACTAACCAAATCCGCCGTGCAGTGTGTGCAATCAAGCGTCTGATCAAACCAGGAGAGACGATCAATACAATTGAAGAAGTGACCCCTCTCGCGGGCGAGCTAGCAATGCTCGGCGGCGGCGGTGGTCCTCTCGATCCCGAAGTGTCGCAACTGAGCAAGATCGATCCAGATTCGGGGAAGAAGGGCCTACGTGTGGTGCTGAAAGGTGGTTTCGGTTACACCGATACAAATGTCAAGCGGAAGAAGAATGTAGTCATTGATTTCGTCTGCAATAAGGACCTTGATGGGACCGAAGGCGAATACGACTCAGAAGATAAATATGAGCCAAATGACGACATTGTCGAGGCTGATGCGGATGGGAATGAAGAAGGCGGTGGCGGAGACGAAGGCGGGGACAAAGACGGTAAGGCTCCGCCTAAGGAAGTACAACTGGGCATCGAGAAAAATCCGAGCCTCGTTTTTGATCGATATGGCCCCAGCGACAGCGATATGGACGTGGACGTGTTACATTTGACCTGGGCTTCCAAGTACGTGTGCGATAGCAAGACAGATGACGGGTCAGGCGGAAACGATGACGATGGCGTCGTGGACAAGCCTGGCTCCCACTGGGGCCTTTTTACTTGGATTGTCATTCTGTAAGTTGACGTGCCGACATCGGCCTGTGACTTTCTGCTGACATTTCTATACAGCGTCTTCCTAGGCACCGCCGCATATCTGATCTTCGGCTCCTGGCTTAACTACAACCGTTATGGCGCACGAGGCTGGGATCTGCTACCCCACGGCGACACTCTCCGCGATATCCCATACCTGCTGAAGGATTGGGCAAGGCGCGTGCTCAACACGGTTCAGGGAAGCGGAAGCCGTGGCGGTTATAGTGCTGTTTGATAGTTGGTTGTTGAATTTCCCATTCCACGACCATCCATGGACCACGACATTGTGATCTCTTTTTTTTTTCTTGAATTTCTCACTTTGTCATTAAAGTCGGTAGGCTAATAATGGGTTGGCGTTGCGTACTTGGTTTGGTCACATCAAGTACATTACCTAAGCCAAGAGACCACTTTTCGGCTTCGAGTTTCAGCCCGCATTAGATGGGGGGAGGAATGTAGACATGGTCGGCGTCATAGTTATATGACTTCTTATGTGTGCGATGGCGCTCTCATTTTCTGAACTTCCTTCCTTTTTCCCCTTCCGCCCATCGTCAAATTGTGGCCTGCTCGGTTTATACATTACTGTACATACGTATGGTCACGGTATTACGTCTTGTTCCCAATGTATTAGCAATAACCCTCTCTCGCCTTCACTTCACGCAGTGCGGATTGCTTGGTGATGAAAGGGGGTGCTTTGGTGAGAAAGGGTCATCATGGCGTTCTTTGCAACTCATACATACACTGTAGCATGTGTACGTTTGGTTCTGGAGAGCGCGAAGTCATCGATACGAGCTTCGTTTTGGAATCTTCATCGTAGTTAGCTGCCCCCCTTACCGCGGTTCGTTGACTACCCTTGGCCGAAAGTAATAATGCGTGCAAACTATTATATGGCTTCGTGGCCCAATGGCAAGGCGTTTGACTACGAATCAAGAGATTCTGGGTTCGACCCCCAGCGAGGTCAAAGAATTTTCTTTTTGTGGGAGCTTTGGATTTTTAAGTTTTATCATGCCCCGACATGTGCAAATCCCGCTTTAGATATGAGTTAAGTACCTACGCCAATGAGAGTGGGTTAGAGAAATAATGGTCCCTTCCAATCCTCTCCTTTATTTTGGGGGAAAAACAAGGAATGCCTTGTGGATTTGTCAAATTTTGTCAAATTTTGTCAATCAAGGTCGTAGCATCAAACCATCAATTGCTCGGCTCTCCCCAAAGTTGCGGTCATTAGAAGCATAGCCTTTTTGACCATGAAATCTTTGCGGAATTACATTTCACATGGGCCAAGTTGATGTGAGCGGACTTGGGTGACGGCAACGACCAGAAACTGTCTCGTGTCCATCGGCAGGGCCATCGGTAGGTTAGTAGATCATGTCAGATTGTCCGCGACGAAATACGTGCGCCCGCGCAAGGTGATAGAGACGTGGGCTTGGGAGCCAGTATGTCCTTGAGAAATAGGCTTTGAGAAACGCCAAGTGCCATATATCAAGTCGAACAAGTTCTTGATCTTGACCGATGTTTCGCGGCCAGGCAGACTCTATTGCAATTATGTATGACGCCTACTACCAGAAGCTCGCGTACTCGAAGTACTAATGTGCCGAGACCAACCATTGTGCCTGAATCAATGATTGGTGTTCAACTCTAGAGCTCTCACACTAATAGCATATTTTCAGCCTCTTGGGCCGTTCTCCGATCTACTTGGATACCTCTCCAGAAATCATATCATTCTGGCTGCCAGGGCCAATTTTGAAGCATGGTGAGGCCGGCGGACAAGCACGAGTAAACAGGGGCTGTTCGATTTCAAGTCCGAACTAATGCCGCACTGAGGGTATTATCAACTACCTATATGAGATGTAGGTAGTGGTGTGTTGATACGTCAAGTACCTAGTGTATCCTCATCTTCGGGTAGAGAAGTATCCGGTTCCGACGGGAGAGCGCGAGATTCATGTTCATTATAAGATACGCTTTCATTGCTTCTGCATAAGCAAGCAAAAAGTGCGCAAAAGGTACATAGGATAACCACATTCCTGAACTTCAGGAAGTTCTACCTACCCGGTGGTTGTTACCGTCCGACTCCTCTACACACGACTGTGTCACTTCATTTACCGACTGGGTATATTACAGGCTTACACAGTCAGTAACGTCCAGTTTCCCACCTTGACTTTTTTCGTACAATTTCAAGATTTAGGTTAACTCCATCGAACACAGCAACTTGTGACGCGCAGCAAAAATCAACGTGCGACACAGTCGTTTCAGAAGAGAGAGAGAGTCGGTTACCATCACCTTTAGCGAACCGACAGGTCCCGGTCAACTTTCTGCCTGGAATTGAATCGGATTCAATGAATCCCTATGTCTCGTATCCTTCCGCCTGTAAACTGCTTCGTACAGATAGCGAGCCTGTTGGCACGGTGATGCCTGCTAGTATTTTACCAAGGCCCCCATGCTGACCGGCCTTGTAAGTAGTGTACACGAGGGCTGTGCGGAGTTCATACTACCTACGGACGTTGTTCTTATACTTCAAATGAACAGAATACTACATAGCAACGCGTCTGATTACCTATTACAGGATACCGGTTTGTCGTTGGGCTGCAGTTGGTGAACATCAAGCGACTAGGTAGGCTGTGTGTCAGATTTTGGTAGGTATTGCAGGTTCAAAATATAAGATAGGCAGGTAATTTGAATCAAAAGCAAGCAAGCAAAATTTAGGTCGTTTGTCAGCCCTATTATAGTGAAGACCCAAAGATACGACGAGTGTAAGTCTCATCTCCAAGTTGAACAAATTACCTAGGTACCTACTCTGCGACGTACCTGCAGCGCAAACGAAACATTAACTTACACATGATTACTTCGCGGAACCGGGAGAGACAGTCGGATCCCGGTTCGACCCCGGCTAGGTGCGTCGATCATATAGCCCTACTCCACAATGTTGCATCGTAGGTAGCTCGAGGGTACAGGTACCTACTCGCATATGTTCATTAGTACCTACTTAATATTCCGATCCTTATAGTGTAGGTGGAAATCGGATGCAAAAGAATGCGCCGCGAAGACTGCTACGATCCTGTCGCATAACGTGGGCATTTCTGGCACTGAACGATAATACAACAACTGACAAAATACATCCTTCTCTGTAGTATTCCGTAGAAGAAGAAATACCAGAATCATTCGTGAAACAACCCAGACAGTCTCACACCTTGATTGTGCACCATAGATTAGAACAGACTCACATATATATTATGCGGCGCAGATCGTTTAGATCCGAATCCAGTAGACCTATAACTTGAATTCAAATTGCAGGCCGGTGTGATTTACATTACATCATAATACTATGTATTTAGATATGCATTCCATACTCTGTATGGATGACTATGGCGTATATCTGCTATTTTGCTACGTCTGGTTATAAGGGTTAGCATTCTGTTGAATACATACCCATCTCAAGTCGAGTTGAGTTGGACGTGTTTCCAGCTGATGATTTTCTGAACCGGACTTGCTTCGTTTCCGTGTGAGATTGTCATCTAGACTTGGCGTATTGCTCTATACCATCAATGGGGAAAGCCTCGGAACAGGCATGTCCGCCATCATTAGTCACTGACGATGTCGTTGAACCGGTAGCAGCCTCCGAACTTGCCCGAGTTTACCAGTTCAGCGAGCAAACCAACTATCGCCCCTGTAAGAACGCTTGCTACTGTAAGTGGACTCTGGCTGCCCGGATCATGACACAATGTGTATGACCAAAAAACCGGATATTGATAAAGAACAGAATTTCATAGCCTGCGCCAGCGTCAATATAATCGCATTCACCGGCCAGACCACTCTTGCGACCAGTCTGTGTACTGTGGCCGATGCCCTTGGCGGCGGCGGTCAAGTTGCATGGATAGCAAACTGGTTACTGCCAATCAATCAAGTGCCTAACCGGGTAGTATTGAGGGGAGAAAAGAAAGAAAAGCTCTGAGAACCAACCCCTGGCGACCGTGGGCCAACTCCTCTATGGTCGACTATCCGATATATGGTCCCGCAAGGTGATCTTGTTAAGTAACCTATGGCAGTTTGTTCATCGGTTCCCTTGCCTAGTCCTTAGTAAACACTGTTATACAGCTCTTCATGCTCAGGGTTATAGCGGGTATTGGCGCCGGAGAGCTAATAACACCCTCGAAGCTCATCGTGAGCGACGTGGCGCGGCTGCGTGAGAGGGGAAAATATCAAGTGATCATTGTATGTTATGACGCGCTTGACCCCCTCTGCCTTATCTTTTCGTGAGAAATCTGCCGATGATCCCCATTGGGCAGGGTGTCGCGTACGCAATAAACAATAGCGTTGGTCCCGTCATTGGAGGCGCCCTGTCGTCTGCGTCAGGAGATGGCTGGCGGAACATCTTTCAACTCAATTTGCCGCTTGTGGTGTTCACGACGCTTGGTCTTGTGTTTTTCATGCCTCTTAAAAAGGCCAAGAGCAATTGTAATTTGTGAGTCCATTGATGAGGACCGTGGTGTTTAAGAAACCAAAGATTGCCAAGGACAACGCTGCTCACTGTGGTCTCGCAGAAAACCCAAGACCGTGGATTTCCTCGGCATTGCTCTTGTTTTGTCGGGCACTACTATATTCTTAGTAGGGCTCACTTGGGGTGAGAGTGACTACCCGTAGAATTGTTCTTATATCATTGTGACACTCGTCGTTGGATTTGCCCTGTCTGCAGTTTTCGTTTTCTGGCAGTGGAAAGGCCCAAGATATCCATTGATACCCCGTCAGGACCCCCTAACTATCTCCCTTTCATTTCAGTGGCCTTTGATAACTCCCTAAACGCAGTTGATGTATTCAAATCTAGAATCGTTAACGGCGCATGCTTGACGATAGTTGGAACATAACTGTCCAGTTGTACTATATCCCAGCATTCTACCAGGTTGCGTATGGGTAATCCACAACACGGGTCGGGGCGCTTCTGCTGACTACTAGTAGCACGCTTTCGGGATTCATTGCAGGATATGGCTGTTGTGACAAGTTTCCGAAAGTGAGTATTCATCGGCACGTCCACAGCAGCCTCTCACACAAATTCTGCCATGTGGTAGTTTCGCGAGAAGTGTTGGAGTCAGCCTTGGGCTGGCCGTTTGTGGATCACTATTAAACAACATCGTCGGTAAATCCCTTTTCAATTTCTCGCTCAACGATGCAGACATAAAGAGTCTTCTCAATAATACTCCAGGAGTCTATCTCAACTTTCTTCCCCAAACGAGGCAGAACATGTGCACACGGTGTGTTAGTATCGATTATCGACAGGCCTTTAGAGAGATATTTCTCGTCGGCGCTGTGTTAGCCGCTCTAGCATTTGCCCTTGCTTTTTCTCTGGTGCATCATGTTGAGCTTTCATGACCTGATGTCAAAAATTGAAGGAAGACGCCAGAAAAGCCCTACAGGATGCTGACGTCAAACTTGCGAACAAATTGATCTAATTAGAGCAGGATCTTTGCTGCTCAACCTCTCCTTCGCTTGAATATCACGTAGAAGTTGGGTAGCATTGCAGCAGTCCCGGAAAGTCACAACGATACACCAGATTCGATTTTATGTATATGTAATGCACACGGTGATAGTAAACAACACTGGCCGGTGCAAAGCAGACGGGCGGGGGTATAGTTTCGGTACTGCATGCATCCTGAGAATAAAGTTAAGACCACTTTCCAAATGCCGAGAATTTGGCATTGAGTATCTTATCCCATTTCCTGTCATCGTATGCGCTAAATCTGGAATTATAGCAATCGTTGCCTTAATTCTGGTGCTCGTCGACACTTCACTCACGAGTTGGAGTAACAATTGAGAATCATGACTCGAAAACAAGTATCTGATGCGTACTATGCGAACACTTCGGTCCGGTCTCACACAAGCTCATGACTGTGGCAGTAGCTGATGACGCTTCGCCACCACGATTCCATGTTCCATTTTGAACCCAAGAAAGCCCGTGAATGGTGGTGCAAATGA